ACCGCGTGGGCACGGACCACGCGCCTCCTAATCTCGTTTCCTCCGACGTACCGATACCCCCGGCGCCTGGAGCGTTACCCCCCATCTCTAAGCTTGATTTGTACCAAATTTGGACCGATTTTTCGCAACTCCACACTCTTCCATCCATGCAACTTTCAGCGCAACAGTCCGTGTGGTTGATGGTGTTAGGGTTTGGTGTTCGTGGGTGTGGGCGCGTTAGCGCGTGGTGGACTGCGGCCACGCCGCATCGAGAATGTAACACACTAAGCTCGGCTATAGGTGTGAAGCGTGAGGCAAGAGGTAAAGTAGGTGCCAGGTCGACTATAGATGCTTGCCTTTGAAGATGACTAGGCATTGAAGCCTGATTCCAGTGGCTAAGATGGCCTCAATAAGTGATACCCACTCACAATCCTCTAGCAATTCGATATAAGCTTTCTTCTTTGGTGAGTTTACAAGCACCTGGGCATTGGTACATACCCCATGTGCTACACCAGTCTCCTCAATATTCCAGGTGGAGGGGGGGTCCGCACATTTTAAGAGGCATTATACCATGGCAAGTCAGGCAGGTTTGGCGCCATATATGAGGTTATACCAGTGTTCAAATACCTACTCAACACCTATGAGTCACTTGCTACTGCACACAAGTCTGTTGATTACGAGGCCATCAATGCACCAGAAGATCACCTCGCAATAAACGTATGTGCTGGCTGCAACAAACTAGCAGACTACTACAGCAAACTTGATGATTCGCCCTACTACTTCATTGCAACGCTCCTCCACCCATACTACAAGACATACTGTGATAACGCATGGCGTGAGAAAGATGGTTGGTTTGCAGCAGGTTACGCTGGCTTCCAACGGGTCTGGCGCAAATACAAACCTCTACAACCGCTTTGTTGTTGTTGTCCCACAGGAGTTGACGGCTCTATAGACAATACTATAGATGCCTTTGTCAACTCAGAGATGTGTGACGATGCTGCTGAGGACGATGAATATAATGGCTGGATCAAATATGAGACCCATTGGACGTGAGAGTACTTTCAAAGCTCTGGGGCAGAGTCATCAATACAGTACTGGCTACGACTCCAGCACCAGTATCCCAAATTATCGCAACTGGCAATTGACATGCCCACAATACCCGCCTCCAGCAGCGACTGTGAGCGTATGTTCAGCGAGTTGGGTGATATACTGGAGCTAAAACGGCGGAAGGTTGGGCCTGAATTACTGGCTGCTTTGTTGACTCTCCGTAGCTGGATCTGTGCGGGTTTCAAAACACCAAGTGGTGCTGAGGCAGATGCATACAGCGACAAGGAGGTTGATGCTGAGTACGCAGTTGAAGAGTGGAAAGACGCCAATATATGATTTGTATGTATAAGTATTCAAGGGTTAGGGTTAGGGTTAGGAGTACAAAAAGTACGTGAGCGATATGTCAGAGTATATGAAGAGAACAAGAGTCCTAGCACTTCGGGGAGAATATGCTTTCGCCTGTAGCTCTTCAGGGACTCAAAGGCGGGTGTGTTTATATACACGTTCTGACGTGCCAAGGTTGTTAGCGCGTTCTTCTCGAATAGGCAGGGCTGCGCAGCGGCTGCTCTGTTTATCCAAAGTGTCAGCGCTAGTCGGTAGTGCCTTGGCTACACTCCTGTCACGTGAGGAAATCGTGTCAGACTCCGTGTCGGGACGCGCAGCTCCGGGCCGGCGTATCGAACACTGAGTCACCTTCTCAAGTGCCAAAAACTGGGTTTGGGTTAGGATTTTTTTTTTAGATTTTTAGCTGCAACAGGATAAAGCAGAGTATTCCATGCACAACACTATCCTCAGCTAAGCTCTGCGTGCTGTGGTTGTTGTGCTGTTGCTCCTCAAAGTTAGAGTACCGGTAGTAACAGCCTGATCTGGTAAGGTCTTGCATTCAGGTGCACTAACCCAAATAGTAATTCTGGTGACCCTGAATGAATACAACCCTTTGTATCAACAAAACAGCTTAGAAACAGCTAGCAGAGCTAGCTATGTGTCACTGAAAGCTTTTTATACCTGGCATGATTAATATCATGGGTTATGTATCTATCTGTAGCTTGTTATACTGTGTTTGGTGACTAGGTACCCAATGGGGAATTTTGGTGACCCATACTAACCTAAAATATAACCAACCAGCAACATGAAGAGTTAAACTTCATAATAGTATTTTTTGCTACTTAAACACAGTACTAATACACACAGGCATCTTGAGTTAATCATACACTGGAGGTTATGGTGCTGGATAGTGTATATGCTGTTGTAAGGTTTGCTATGTCAGTAGTCCATATCCTGATTAGGTATATTTCAGTTTTCAAGGACGCTAGCCTAAAAAGTAATTGTGGTGACCCCTGAGACATATGATGTTCATAGCATCTTCTACAACACTAACAATACATACATACTACATAGCTACTACTATGCCTCCAGGAAGACCTCACAAACCTATTAGTGTGCTATTCAAAATTTGTCAGATTTATTCTGCTTCCAAGTTGAGTCTATGCTGCTTACTAAGACTTGTTTCATCAAATCGATTAGTGTGCAGTTCAAAATCTGTCAGATTTTTTTATGCTTCCAAGTGGAGTCTATGCTGCTTACTAAGCCTTGCCTCATTAAACCAGTTAGTGTGCAGTTCAAAATCTGTCAGATTTTTATTTGCTTCCAAGATTTGTCTGGGCTACTTACTAAGCCTTGCCTCACTAAACCAGTTAGTCTACACTTCAAAATCTGTCAGATTTTTTCCTGCTTCCAAGTGGAGTCTATGCTGCTTACTAAGCCTTGCCTCATTAAACCGGTTAGTGTGCAGTTCAAAATCTGACAGATTTTTTTCTGCTTCCAAGAGTAGTCTGTGTTATTCACTAAGCCTTGCTTCATCAAACATCATTGCAAGACCTCAGCCAACATCATAATACTACAACACACCTGTTCAGGGGGCAAGTTCTTTTTGTTGCTCTTCAATCAACTTATTATTTTAGTATTAACAATGCTACATAGAGCACAGGGGGAAGCTTTAAGAGAATCTATATATCTCCAATGCAATGCCAAGATCTTTGTTCATTATGAACTTCAT